TAACTAATGTTAGTCATGCTGATATTTTATTCTTTTTTTTTAATACTACTTTTCAAATATTGAATATCAGTATTCTTGCTATTGTAATTTATCTTTCGATGCCGTTGAGGAAGTTTTAATTGTTTGAATTGAATCGAAAACATTTAGCATGTATCACAAGAGAAATTACAATGACGAGAATACTAATATAAAATGAATACGAAATCTTTCAAAAAAGAAAATTGATTAGCACTTGCAAACAAAAACAAGTTTTACTCATGTTATTTGACTGAGTTATTTTCAAAATAAAGATGAAATATAAATAGTACTTGGTGTTTTGATTGAAATAGACAAAGATGATGCTTAGTTTTGAAAAAATTTTGTTTTATGTATGAAAAATAACTTTAGCGGAACATTAAATCAAGCTCGAATAGTCAGTGAGAATGTGTGATTATGTTTAATACTTAAAGTTATCCATCTTAAAATATTAAACAGAACAAACAGATTATTTGCATATTTTAGAGTTTTACTACGTCATGTGAATAATGTACGCTTGTGTACGAGAAACTTATGAAGAAATATTATCTAGCCTTCAAAAATACGAGAAAAAATCTGGAAGTATTGTATCAACGTAAAGCATGTTATTTAAAAAAAGCACTAGAAATTTATGGAAAATTAAGGGAGTTTACTCGCGAAATTCTACAACTTAGTAACAAATATATTATTAGCACTACTTGAATATAATATGTTTGTTTACTCCAAGAAAATATTGATATTCCACTGAATAAATAAATAGTTATTATACAATCTGTTTTATTCATACCCGTTGATACCAAGAAGAAGAAATAGTTCTCAATAGTTACAGGAGTCTTAGATATTAAAAAACAAAAGTCACTTTTTAGTAAAAAAAGAAACAAACAGCTCAAAATCGGTTAGAAAAATAATATTGGAAATGATCAAAAAATTCCGTTCGTATTTCGATTGTTTGTATTGGAGAAAGTAATCTGATCGAGCTGAAAATTTCAGGAAACACAAAATGCACTACTTTCTATAGCATCTTTGAAAATCAGCGAATTCTGATCGATGTCCTAAACTGACTGATTTTTTTTCAGATATTTTTATTTATTTTTTTGTGTTCTTTGATATTATTCTGTAATGTCACTAATTATTCGATCTATATATTGAAAACGTTCTCTTTCCTTTTTTTATATGTTTAAGTGCTAATGTTCTTATATACTTCATTATTACAACTTTCCCACTATGTATGCATAAGAAGCACAGAAAGAAAACATTATCACAATAAAAAATATGAAAGAAATGATAGCGACAACTGAAAATATCATCCTAACATTGATTTTAAAAAACTATATTAGAAAGATTTTTAAATTCTCAATATTAACAATATTGATGAACTTAAATTACACTGATTCATTGGACTATTATTGATAAGAATCATTTGAACATCAATACATTTATCAAAGTATTTTCTGTAAATTCAGTTGAACTATACAAGATCGTTGAAATGATCACCATTAATTCATGGTTTGATATATTTCATAGTAACAATATATACCGTGTTATTAGGATATAAACATTACTTATCTAACCACTATTATAATCTATTTAAATACGATTTTTTCCAAAACACTCGAGCGAAAAAAAAATGAATAAAATATGTTACTTTTGATAATTAGTTGCGATATGATTTCATGAGTAATCGACTTGATAAATTTCAATAAAATTACCATTTTCTACATGATTTTGATAATGATCTTCATTAATTATCAAAAAAGAAAGGATGTTTTGTTATAGTTTCGAATTATAGACAATTTTAGAAAATGTTTGTTTTTATTACTTTCACCCATGATGTTATTGATGTTCTCTTTATCATTTTTTTCTTTCATTGGTACTTGGTTGTCATTTTCATTTTATTTACTATACTTCTTCACTCTTTATCCAGTTCTGCTTTCTCATATGGCTTTTTCTTGAAATTTTGATACAAAGTTGTCCTTCAATGCAATATACATTTCTACCTGTATGTATCTCATATCACTGTAATGTAAACATGTTAATAGTTACAGATGAATGTTTTCTATTTTTATTCTCAATATCTCATCAAAGATGAATTGTATATGCAAGTGACACTATGTCAAGATATTGCTTGACATAAATGATAAAGAGAAATACATATTTAACAGGACTCCTATTACCAAGGGCAAACATATACATATACACAACTTGTGCACTATATGATAATTTGTTTTTTTTCTCTTTTCTGGCCTTTCTCATGAGTAGAGAACGCAGTTAAGACCATCCTAAAAATGTCATTGAGAGGTATATATATATACGGAAAAAATGCCGAAAATCACATCCTTGCAGTATCACTAAACATAAAGGAGAATGTAAAAGAATAGAATTAGTATAATCTTCTGTATATAAGCATTGCGAGAAATAGAAAAGAAAAATAAATGGGCAAACTCGATGGATAAATTGTTCTCATCACTGATGGTTCTGAAGGCATTGGTTTAGCTACTGCTGAAAGATTTATTGCTGAAGGTGCAGAACATGTTTTCATTACTGGTTGTCGCCAAGAAATATTGGATGAAGCCGTGAAGAAAATTGGTAGCAACAACATGACTGCAATAAAACCTGATTCGTCAAATCTGACTAACCTCGACAAGTTATATGAAATCATTGAAAAAGATAAAGGTCGTTTAGATATTGTTTCTGCCAATGCAAGAATAGGAGTATTTGCACCTTTGGGTACTATCACTGAAAGACAATACGATGAAATTTTCAATATTAATGTCACAGGAGTATTATTCACTGTACAAAAAGCTTTGCCACTGATAGTAGATGGCGGATTTATCATTCTGAATGGATCTATTGCTTCTATCAAAGGACATTATACTGCAAGTCTAATAAGTGCATCTAAAGCAGCTGTTCGTTCATTCGCTCGTGCATGAACCAGTGACTTGAAGAAACGTAAGATTCGAGTCAATACGGTAAGTCCAGGAGCAATCGAAATACCGGCATGGAAGAAAGTCGAAATTGGAGAAGAGGAAAAGAAACAGCTGGCCTCCGAAATATTAGCCACTATACCGATGAAACGTTTTGGTACTGCCGACGAGATCGCCAAAGCTATTGTTTTTCTTGCTTCGGATGATAGCAGCTATATTACGGGCGTCGAGCTTTTTGTTGATGGCGGTGTAGCACAAATATGAATCATATATTTTTTGTGCTTATTTTATGAATAAATAAATATTGGAATATCGACTTAAAATCTGAGTGTTATGTGTATTTCAAAAAAGTGAATTAGACAGATGAGTTATCCTAGCACGTTTAGACGGTTCACCCAAGTTTGATTGAAAAAAAGCTTTATCTATTTCACTAATAAGCTTCTATTCACAGAAAAAAATACATTTAAGTTATAAAGATAAATTACTAAAAGAGGTTGAATTAAGCCGAGTACTTCTAAGAAAATCGAAAATGGCCACATTGTAGGAAAATGGACTTCGATAAAAACCACACAGTATTCTTTTGGTTCAAAGAATATTTAATATTTTTCAAGGTTTGAAACTTCAAGTATAGTCTTCAGAGTAGATTCACTTATCTTCCGCTGTCTCGCTGCCCCTTGTATTGATTAAAAGTGTGAGTGTCGGTCAAACAAAGAATCATAGTCACATTCTACACTCACACTCACACTCTCCACGGACCTAAAGCGAAAACAATGTTCGATTTGCGAAGGTACTAAAGACAGGAAGACTCTAAACAAGTGTTATAAACGTTCTGAAGCCGTTTGCAATGAACATTCTGTAAAACGAATTCTTTGTAACAGTTGTTTGAAATCGATCTATAGCATTCGTCTGAATCGTTTCGTCATTGAATCCACTAGAAAATAATATAATCTAGACAAAAATATTGATTTAATGATGGGCAAAGTCCTATGATAAAAGTAGATCATTGTGAAATGTCTAAAATTGGTTTGACAGCACTAGGGTAAAAAAAATGAGCTTACACTAATATAATATTTGCGAAGACTTTATTTAACGATTATTGATTGTGTCATCTTCACTTGAGTTATATAGTACACTTTACGTTCTCCTTCACGAATTTCAGGTATTAAACATTTTACAGAAATGTATGTTTTGAAATTTATTCTTTAACATTTTCACTATTCAACATTTTTTTAATATTTTTCGATATTTTTATTTTCTACAATTTTACTTTCGAGTTTTTTTCTTTCAACATTATTAGCATTAGATGACTTAACCTTGTTTCTCAATGTTTTATATACCACTTTGTAGCTCGTATAATTCTCTATTGAATAGTATATATTAGTTGAAGTTTTGCTTTAGTTATGAGACGAACCAAAAAATGGATGTTGGTTCAATTTTTTTTTCATTTTACTTTTACTAGTTATTTTAAAATTTTATATGTTTAAAAACTATAATTGATTTTGCTATTTAATTCATGTCGGATCTATTCTGAATGACAAGAATTTCTATCATCCAATAAATACCAATTTTGCACAAACTAATGAAATTATTAAATTGAAGAAGAAATTTTAAAATATTTCATGAAAGATTTTTCGAAAATTACTGGATTATTTTGTTACACTGAAATACACACATATAATATTTTATCAAGTCTAAGAAGTATGAAAATTTTTTTTTGCACTTCTTGAAACTTACTAAGTTTTTTAATCTATATAACAACTAAATCAAATGAAAATATTTCGTTAGATAGAATAATTAATGGTCTATCAAATAGCTGGGTAAGTTCATCTTTGTATTTTAATTTGATTCATCATTTATTTTAGCTCTCAAGCATTAAAAGAGAATTTCCATTGCGGACGAATATTAAATTATTCATGTGTAAAGTCTTATCAGATCTGTCGAATTGATCATTGAAACATCGACAAGGAACGTTGTCAAACAGATATAATAAAAACAAGAGGTTAAAGCAATTGAATAACATTTATTGAAAAAGGAAAGAAAGGATAGCATTGACATCGTATTTTAAGCATTCGAGGCAATGTTAAATTTTTGTATTCGAAAATTAATCCAATCGACGACATAGAGATTACCGTATCGATCGAATGACAAACCGATGGGCCAATTCAGTTGATTCGGCTGTGGTCCAAAATTATTTCCACCAATAATGACATTTCCTTGTTTGGCTCCTTTGGGCCAGCGCATGATTCGATGATTGCCTCGCTCAGCCACATACACAGTTCCTAATTGATCGACAACGATTCCTTCAGGAGACCATAATTGTGTAAGAGCATTTCCTTGTCCTTGACCACCCGCCACGACAATGCCTTCCTTTGTACCTTTTATCCATTTCATCACACGATTATTTCCAGTATCAGATACATAGACTGATTGATCTCGATCGACATATATGTATGATGGAGTATCAAGTTGATCGAGACGATATCCACGTCCATTACCACCTGCAACTACTGTTCCGTCCGATTCTCCTCTTCTATAACGTCTCACTTCACCTTTTATTGAGTCAACAACATAGAGAGATCCATTCTCGTCCATTGTCAAACCTTCACAAAAGCCGTTTGATATTATTGTTTCTCCACTTATTCCATTTCGACGAGGCCATCGAACTACTCTTTTATTTACAGTATCGCAAATGATGAGACTATCTGTCTCTTTGTCAACAATCACCTCTCGTGGACTATAAAATTGATGAGCTTCACTTCCTTTTCCATTTCCGCCAGCAACTACTTGGCCACTCTTCGCACCTTCTTTCCACTCTATAATACGATAATTGTGTTCATCAGCGACATATATTGTTTGTTCATCATCCACAAACAAGCCCTGTGGAGTGTTGAGTTGATCGGTTCTATTACCATTTCCATTTCCTCCTACAACTGTTATACCATTTTGTTCCCAACGAGCATTTGGATGAATATCAATGGTACTTCCACGTAATGGAACAAAAGCTACAGAAAGAAAAAAACACATTCTTAGCTATATTCGATAGCCATACTGCTCAAAGTATTGCTTGAGATTTCTATTTAGAAAGCAGAAGAATAGTAGCGGTTTTATTTTTCCTCTCTGCGCAGTTTCGATTTTTTAAAACAGGATTAACTATAGATTTATTTGTCATTTACAACGTATTCAAGAGTTTCATCATATTATTCAACTCTTTTTAAACTAGACTTATTTAAAATGAATTAATAACAAATTGGTTTGTTTCGTCTCATTTTCTGCTCTCTCATATTACTGTAAAGTTTGTGATCTAATGAAGTAATAGAGTATCTTGTTTTGACTGATTAACAACGTATCTTGTTGCTGATTGTTCGAATCTTACTAAATATTTGAAAATCAGTATGATTAAGTAGTAAAATTCTATTCTCCTTAGTACAGAGAATTCTGTTACCTAAAATGACCAAGTATCTCGATTAAAACTTATGTAGATCGACTCACATAGTTAGTACTTAACTGAATAGATAGTACAGATTAGAATATTTCCATTTGAATCCTTTCAAAATTTTTAGGTTTTTTTTTAACATAACAATATCAAATGACTTGTAAATAGTTTCTTGCAATTTAAATTCTGTTTTAAATAGTTCATTAGTTGTTCGAAGGTTTAAGAAATATTCATTCTGCCTGATGAATCTTATTCATTTAGGTCTACGTTAGATATAGAACATTATAGAACACACAGAAACAATCAATATGTGGTTCAACGGCAGTATCTAACTAGATCAAGAAATCTTTCTCCACTGCTTACCTAACTGTGAAGTATTGGCTTTAATTGTTGTTGTAGTTGAAATCTTAGTCGTAGTTGTATTATCCATTTCTAATCATTAATATAAAACATTTATGTAAACAAAGTCAATAGTTCTATGTTTGACACAAAAGTGTTAATTTACTTGATGTGTTTTAGATTTAGATGTGAAAATTGTGGTAGGGATTAGAGATTACATGAAAGTCGTAGTTTCAATGATATGACCTTATGTAACTCGTGTGAGTTTAATCTAGCAAGTTTTAGTTAGACTCGCCATGTTTGCTACCTTTATTTTAAAAAAATAGTTGTGAGAACAGAATGATAATCCGTACCGTTATAATGATATCGTTTTTTTTTACCAAATTTTAGTAAAAGAATAATCAAATGAATTTAATATTCACAAGCTTTAAAACGTTTGACATGACATGCGGAGCTGATTAGCATAAAATCAATCTATTCTTCATTTTTTAACAGTCATTTCGTTTCTATTATACTTCATCTAGTTTTTTTTTCAAAGCTCCATTGAGTTTGTATCATCTATATAACTGTAGATATGACAAAGAAATATCTTTAAGATTGGTTTTAGATTCAGTTCAGCCGATCAATTACTTTATTTTCTCCTTACGTGTAATTGGTGGACATGTTTCTTCATCAGTCATTGATACTGGATAACAAACAGGAAGATTATTACATCGAGGATGATAAATACAGGTATGGTCTGGTTCGTTACAATCATAATTAGGTAGTTCACAAGGAACTAGTCTAGAGCAAGTCATATATTGAAAGCCACACACACCGACGTTAGTAACACCTGCCATATGAAAACAGGTACAGGCAGGATTTGATGAACATTGGTCATACTGAGCTAACCCATGGCATAGTTGAGATTTCACAGGTGCTAACAACATACATAATTATTAGTAGAATACTTAAAATAAAGCAAGGAAGTCAAACCTAAAAGGCTGAGAAGAAAGAATGTTCAATATAAAATATCTAAAAGAAAAATAACAGATTTTAGAATTACCTGAATATAAAAAGTACGAAAAAACGAGTGGTTATTGAGACCATCGCTTGTTTTAAAAATCAATAGATATGTCTTTTATTATATTCGTAGACACTTAAGAAGCCGATAACATAATCTCTCAATCAATAGAAAAACAATATGATTCTAACCCCTAACTAATTTATTTATTATCAGAAAAAAAGGGCTTTGAAGAAGATAAAGTGCCATTAAAGAAATATGATATTTTCTTTGAGATATAAGGAATCAACACGTTGATGCCACCTTTTTTTTGCAATTATTGATCTACGTAAAATTAAGTTATATCAATTTTAAAGACCATTTTATTTTGTGATGCACTTATATTCAGTTTTAACAAATATCTTTGAATTTTCAATTGCAAAATCATTCGCTTAATTCTGAAAAAAAACAACAAGTAACGTTCGTCGGTTCGACTCACTTGACCCTCGACTGCATCAGACAGAAGTATATTCCGTATGTGGATATCAAAAGAATTGATCTACCAGTTTTGTCGCAGTAACTGACTCAAAGTTCAATTATTTGAGTCAAAAAGTCGAGGAAAATTATGGGCCTCTTAGAAGACTAGTTTAGCATAAATATTACTTTACAGCAAGTGATGGTAAAAAAATAACAATTCTTTACCCAAGCACACTTCAGCTAATAAATACAGGATGCAAAATCAATGTTATACTGTGAGACAGTAGTAGCGCGATAAAAGAAACTAATTTTAGTGAATAATAGGCGCTCTTACATTAATTAAGAAATTTGATACTGAAAGTATTTATGCTTACGAGTGATATGAGACTCTCCATGAGTTATTGGCAATAGCGAGAATATGAACGTATATGAAAGTGTAAATAACTACTCAACATCATTTTATTGTGTGATAGAAAAAGAGAAACTACAGTATAATAATTCATTAGAAAGAACTATCAGAATGAATAGAATACATGTAAGTAAAATCTACCACAAAACGATATGAAATACGAAAAAAAAACTGATAAAAGAAGTTTGAGATGTTTGACACGAATTACACATTAAAAATTATAAATGTAAAGAACGATACACAAAATTTCGTATAATATGAAAAAGAAATTAAAACCACTCAGAAAAACGCTTTTGTGTTTCTGAATAAAGCTTATCTAGTCTTTCTATTTCGGCTAGTTGAGATTTAATTGGTTTGATTAATAAAACCTTGTAATCAAAGTGTCGCAAAATGACCAAATCAGCCAAGCGTTTTACACGTGACAATGGTACATAAATTGCAGCAATGTCATCAGTTTCATTTGGCAGTTTCAAATCAATTACAACATTATTTAAAGTTTGGCCTTGACTTTTATGTGTCGTAAT